CCTACCTTCTTTCCTCTCTGCCACCACACGATGGATTGTTTTGAAGCAAATTCCAGGCGTTATATAATTTCATCTCTAAATACTTAAGCATATATCATTATAAGTATTTCAAAGGTTTCTTTGATTGCATCAGGACCCCAAAAAGACCACATTTTGCATTTGGCTGATAATGTCTTTAAAGTTTCTTTTCATCCATAATAGTTCCCTTTGTTATTTATTTATTGAAGAAGCCAGGTTATTTGTCCTGAAGAATTCCCCACTTTTGGAATTCGGCAGAATGTATTGTTCTTTCCCCCCATGTGATGTTTAATATGTCTTTCTAGCTCATTAATTTTCTATAAACTGGTTGTTGCACCTAAGATAGACCAGCTTCAGGTTTGCCTTTTGAGTGATGCTATGTGCTTACTATTGCAACGTATCGAGAGGCACATCATTTTTGATTGTCTATGTCCTAGATATGATTTTTTAACAGAAATATAATTCACATAACATAAAATTATCCATTTTAAAGTGTACAACTCAATGTTTTTTAATATATTCACAATGTCGTACAACCATTGCTACTAATTCCAGAACATTATGATCACCCCCCAAATAAATGCCACACCTGTTAGCAGTCACTCCCTATCCCACCCACCACCCAGCACCTGGCAAACACTAATCTACTTTCTATCTCTACAGATTTGATTATTCTGGACATTTAATATAAATGGAATCATAAAATATGTAACCTTTTATGCCTGGCTCCATTCACACAGTGCAATATTTTTAAGGTTCATCCATATTGTAGCCTGCATCAGTACTGCATTATTTTCTTGGCTGAATAATATTCCATTGTACGGATATACCACATTTGTTTATCCATTCATCAGTTGTGGACACTTGGATTACTTCCACTTGTGGCTACAATGAGTCATGCTGCTGCTGTGAACATTATGTATAGGTTTCTATTCTCTTGGGTGGTCTTGCTGGGATGTTAGAATTAATTGATAGGTTCAAATATTATTGGCATTATGAAGTCCTCACTCTTTCACTCAATAGTTTTAGGAATCCCTGATAATTGATGATGCTAACCTAAATCCACTATCTCATTAGAGGTTACAAAATGGTGATTTTGTAATTCTCTCATTCCGTTTGCATTTATGAGCCAGAATTTTTCAATAAAGAATTTAGAGTAAATCATAGCTGTAAAAAAAAAAAAGGCAAGATAAATACTTCACTGTTCCTTTGATTTGTCAAATAATGGTATTTTGTACTTTCCTGTATGGAACCCTAATGAATTCTGGGTCTCTACATGGTCAAGGCTCTACATGAAGATGCAAATAATAAATTATGATCCTGGAGCCAGAAAATAAAGAGTGATTCCAATCTCTAGTTAGGGAATTACAGGGAATCCACTTAGTGCCCCACAGCAATGCTTCATAAAATTCCTCCTGTCTCCCCTCTCCCTGCCCTGCTTCCTTGTTTTATTATACAGCTCGATTCAGCCTCTCTGCCCGTGTCCTTCCTTCTCCCAGCCTGTGAGGCTCTACATCTCATTCTCTCTCTCTCACCAGTGCCCTCTCCCCATCCCAATTCTGATTCTACAGGCAAAAGATCCAGGAACTGGGCTGGCCAGGAGCAAATTCCCCAAACTGGAAAGAGGGATTGGGGGCTGGGTTGGAAACATTTTGGTGGATGGGTAAGAGGAGAGAAGAAAGGAAGGAATGCTCACACTAATCAATCTTATTTCCATTACATGCATTTTCTGCAACAAACATGCATCACATATAGTGGAACAAAAAAATAAATAAAATGTTTTAAATATAAAAAGGATGGTAGGGGAGGAAATGAGCACGATTCCTTTTCACCTTCCAGGACCCCTTCGCTCCAGATGAACTGATTGCTGCATCCTTGACTCACTATTCCAGGGAAAGTGAAGTGGAACCTGCCTCTGACTCAGGATTCCAAGGGCGCCCCACGCCCAGAGCCCGGAGGCAGAGGCTGTGCCTGGAACAGCGCAGAGCCTCTGAGAAAGGCCCCTGGGAGCTGCTGGCCGGCTGCACAGGCTGCCGCTCTCTGGTGGCCCTGCCTGAAATGCCTGGGCCCCCATCCCCTTCTCCACGAGCACTTCCCTGGGTCTTCAGAAGACCTCCTGAGGGCTGTTCAGTGTATACATTTCTGCAGTTCTTAGGGAAATCTCAAGGACTGAAGCCCTCTCAAGTTGTACAACCATCGTCACTAATTCCAGAGCATTATGATCACCCCCGAAAGAAACCCCATACCTGCTAGCAGTCACTCCTCATTCCACCCACCTCCCAGCACCTGGCAGCCAGGGCACTCTGAACTGGGGAGTGCCAGAGTTCCACGACACAGAGCCCGTGCCACCCAGGCCCATCTGTCTAGGTCCTAAGAACACTCTGTTGGCAAGTTCTGAACTAAATGCAGTGAACACTCCTGGCTGGCTTTTCACCTGTGTGGCGAGCACACGGGCAGATTTTTGTGTGGTCTGCGCCTATGTTAGCAGGAACTCCGAAAGGAGAGGCGAAGCCTTGGTGGCCACCAAGTGGTCAAGGCCACGTGCTCTGGAATCTCACATGGAATTCTAGTCCCTCACTCTGCCACTTACTTACTTAGCACAGACAAGTCCCCTAGTTCTCTGAGCCTCAGTCTTCACTGGCAGAACGCAGAATGTAGGCATTATGGTGGTTACTACTGGGGAGGGCTTGGGGTGGGTGGGTGAAATAGGTAAAGGGGATAAAGAGGCACAAAATCTCACTCACAATATAAATTAGTCATGGGAATGAAAGTACAGCATAGAGAATATAGTCATTAGTTCTGTAACATTTTTCTATGTTGACAAATAGTAACTATACTAGTTGGGGTGAGGATTTAATGTGGATAACTGTTGAGTTACTATGTTGTATACTTGAAACCAATACAATATGGTATATCAACTATATTTCAATAAAAAATGTATCAAACAACAACAACAAAAAAGAAAGTCAGCATAATGATTCTATCTCGTTGGTTTGTTGTGAGGATTAAATGAGATAGTGTCTGTAAGTGCCCAGCCACTCCGGTTAATCGGGAGCTATTATGCTGAGGGTCCCGTAAACCCTGGTCTCCCTGCCTCTGCAACAGGGATAACAGCAGGATCTACCTGAGGGCGGTGATGGAATGACATAAATGAGGTGCAGTTACACACTATACGTATTAGTAATACTATCAATACCCCCCCTGTTTGGCTTGAGGTAACAGCCTGATCTCGCCTTCCTCCTGCTGCTTTAGTCCTCACCCTGTTCCAGTTGCCAGGACTCCACTCTTCTCACCTTTTTGGATGGAAATCCTGCAGAAAAAAGAATGACACCCAGCGAGAAGAGCACACGAGGAGAGGGGAAGACCCAGGGGTCTCTCTCCTTCCTGAGACCCGCCTCTCCTTCCCTGCCACACACCAAACCCAGGGCTTTCCTACCTGAGCCTCTACCTGGCAAAGCTTTTGCCCCAGGGTTCATTCCAGAGACTTCTGTAACCTCAAGAGGATCTGTATTAATTTCCCCCACGTACAAGATGAGTGGCAGCTTGAAGGCAAGTGGCTCCCAGCCAGGGAAAGAAATGGAAGTTTCCTTTTTTCCCTCGGAGTCTCTCTCCCCCTCCCTCTTGCGGGGGAGCCTAATGCGCTCCTCTGGAGGGACCGAGGGAAGCTGGGCTGGCTGTAATGCAATTCAGCCTCGATGAAGCTGGCAGCTGGGAGCCACTTCCCCTCAGCTTGCCCTCTGCAGGGGAAACTCCGTGATGGCACAAGGCAGCTGGCAAGGGGAGCCTCAAGTTTCAGGACGCTGCCGCTGCGCTGTCATGCAGGGCCACCCAGGAGGCCACGACCACGGAGATGGATGCCTCACGGTGATGCCCATTTTCTTCTGAGGACCTTCTAGAAAGGCAATGCCTTGGGACCTGGTGGGAAGGGTTTCTTTCTCAGCAGCACAGTAGCAGATACAAAGGAACACAGGACCTAGTCGAAAGCGTATGGAATTGGAACTCTGAAGGCGTTTGCTCCAGTCCTGATGCCACCAGCCACAGCAGACAGGTGACTTTTGGTCAAGTTGCTTAAGATCTTTGCCCAAATTTTAGTTTCTCTATTTGCAAAGTGAGCGTTCTAATACCCCCTTAGAATGCTCCACTGGAGTCTGGGAAGAATTAGTTGAAAGAATGTATGGGAAACTGGAACATGGGAGATGGTGAATAAATATTTATTCCACAGAGGGACTGAGAAGAAAAATCACCAGATTCTGGAGGCTTCAAGTTATTCTACAGAATTAAGGACCAGGCATCATGCCACTTCTTGGGTGCCTGGTTTTAGTAAAGAAGTGTGTTTATCATTCAACATGAGATCTTGAGAGGCTCCTTAAATATTCTGGGACTCAGAACTGGTTTCTCCAGGCAGCCGGGGGATCAGCACACAGGGCAGTAGGGGCCTGATCCTCAGAGATTTGATCAGCATCTCCCTTAAGCCCTTTGCTGCTCTCCATGAACCAGTCCTTTTGTGCCACCAGTAAGACGTCCCCATTCTGGGGGAGGCCAGATGACACAGCTACATGTCACCCTGTGAACTACAGTGGGGGGAAGGAGCAATGTCCCTGCTGGAATTGAAAAACATCCTTGAGGGCTGAAACTTTTACAGGGAAGGTTACCATGCCAACGACAGCCTCCTGGCCCAACAAGGATGAAAGGGAACAAGGCCGTGGGTGACACACATCTATTGTGTGTGTCCACAAACTTGCCTGGAACCTCTTAAGAGCTGCTAACTGCAGCTCAGCAGGATGGGCTGCAACTGAGGCAGGAAGATTCGGGTTAGGTTTAAGTGGGACTCCAGGACAGGCAGAACTGATGAGGGTGGCGCAGGGCGAACAAGGGAGGATTGGTAAATGTTTTTCGGAGATTGATCCCCACCTCTGCGCGGGTGTGGTACCGACAGCAGGCGTGGGAGGGGACGGTGCCCCAGATACCAGGCTCTGGCTGCGATGGCACTTCAGCTCCCTGCAGGTCCTTTGTGCCCGTGCCACAAGGTCCAGGTCCCCTGCGCTCTGGGGCAGGCCGAGGAGAGCAGCCGGCAGGGACGGAGGCTCATGGGGGCGGTGGCAGAACTGAGGAAGGGGTATCAGGGCCACACACCCACATCTGGCAAAGGTATCAAATTTTGTCAATAAGGCCACAGAGATGCCAAAGGAGGCGGAGTCTCCCCCAGGCGAGCAGGCCTTCCAGAAAGAAAGGCAAAACACTCAAGCTCTTCACCTCCGGTTCTCTCCACCCCCACACCTGGGCAAGTGCTCAGAGGACTGAGCAACTGACATTAAGCACTTCTCCATGTCAGGCACTTTACACACACACACCCCATTCCATTTGATTACCATAACCCTGCAGATAAGGGTCATCACCATATTTCACTGATGAGGAACCCGAGTTCAGAGGCGGTAAGCACCTTTCCCAGCATCAACCAGTTAGTAAGGGAAGGAGGTGGATTGGACCCCCTCTATCTGAACCCTGGAAGGGAAAACTCCAGACTTTAAGGCTGCCCTATTTTCTTCTGGAAAGTTCTTTTCCAAAGCCATCAGCTCCCATTTAGATCTTCATCCAGGTTCCCCAGGGGCCGAGTCCGGGAGGCGCTTTTCGGGTACGACGTCCTTCTGTTCCCACAACCCTCGCAGAGAGACCGAGGGTCAGAGACTAGAGTGTTTCACCCAAGGCCACAGAGCGAGTGCGTGGGAGCTGGGACTCCGTGGACCAGGCGCCCAGGCCGGGCTGGCAGCCCCGCAGCGCGGCCGCCCCCACAGCCTCACGGCTCTGGCGCCCGGGAGCGAAGGGCGCGGCAGGGCAGGGGCTGGGGGGTGGGGGAGGCGGTGGGCTGGGGACGGGCCGCGGCCGCGGAGGGGCCGGGAGGCCCGGGCGGGGGGCGTGGGCGGTGGCGACGGAAGGCGGCTCTATCCCGGGCGGGCGGCCCGCCCCTCGCCATGTATGGCGCTTCCTCCGGGACCCTACATGGCGCTTCCTCCCTGCCCGAGGCCCATACAAGGCGCTTCCTTCCCGCGCGCCTGGCAGACGGCCCGCGGGCTGCTGTGGGCGGGAGCCGGCGGCCGGGGACCCGCCGCCAAGGAGGGGGCGGCCGGCGGCCCTGGGAACGCGCGGCCCGGGCGCTCCTGCCCCGGCCTTACTGCCTCTCCTCCTGGGTATCGCGCGTTGGCCTCGGGTACCTCCCGCCCCCTGCTGTGCCTCGGTCCTTCCTGCCTTTCCTCAAACTGGCTTCTCTCCCGGAGTACCCGTCCACGCCGATCTGGCACAACTGCTACTCACCCCTTACGCGACCAGACGTCTGGCCGGCCGGGCAGTCTTCCCACCCCCACCCGCAGGCCTGCCGTGCGCCGACCACAGCGTTCGTGTATTGAGACTGCGGTGCCGTCTTACCCATCTTTGCATTCCTGTGCCTCGCTCGGTGAGAGCTGCGGAATCTGGGCGAGGGGAGAGGAAAGGACTCCGTTTTCAGGCCAACTGCAGAGCCTTTTCACCTTGGACAAGGGTCCTTGACTTTAGGCCCCGAACGTCTACACCTGTGCTGCTGCTTGTGGTCCAGAGCTTTATGAACCCCAGAACCACACATGCATAGTTTGACTCTGTAGGAAAAGTTGGAGGGATGGCATGGGGACAGCCAGAGCTGGGGCAGGTGTACACCCGCAGTGGGGCTGGGGGCTGGGGGCTGGGGCCTGAAGCAGCACACATCAGGTACCCCCACCAGCAACAACGGCCTCCCTTGCTCAGCCTGGCAACTCTGGTTTATCCACTGCAGGAACCAGCAAGCCCCCACAGGCCCTCTCTGCAGCGCCTCCAGGGACTTAAACCTGGTCCAGCCACGTGGTTACCCTGCTCTGTGCCAAGAGATGAACAAAGGTCAGAGAGAGAGAGACCAGACTTCAGCGGAGCCTACCCGGCAGCAGCTCTGGAAACCCGCTCCTCAGCTCTTCCAGAGGCAACTGCCATCAGGGTGCAGTCCTTCCGTTGGACCAGTCTTAATTGTTCTGCCTCAGTGAGGCAGGGAAAGCAAAGCTCAGAGCTTGAAACCAAGTCTGGAATATGCCAGGTAAGGGGCTTCTAGTTCCAGGTAGTCTCTGGGCTTGATCCAGAATAAAATCACTCATCAACTTCCAGTTTTTGGTGGTGTGCACTTGTGGAGACAGACACACACACACTTAATAAGGCCAAAAAATACCTAGGTTGGCTGAATGCCTGCGGATTGGGTACATGGAGAGATGATCTCTAAGGTCCCAGACTGAAGGTTTGAGGGGTTAGATTTGGGAAGAAACTGGGTGACACGTTCGGGCTGCACACCCAGGGCCTACGACGACTCTGGCCCCATACTCCCACCTTAGGCTGCAAGTCCCCAGCAGCCTCTTCCCAGCTAAGATCTAGGACTGTGGGTAATGTAGTCCAGAGGGCAGCTTCCCCGTGGTGCTGGTTCCTGCCCTCCCCTCCCCCCCACCCAAGCCACCACCCGCTTCTACTTCAGGCTGAGGGCAGCACAGGGTGAGGAGGCGGTGCTTGCTCCTTGCAGGGCTGGGAGATCCCCAGCTGGAAACCAGCAAGCTATTTATAGCCGAGCTGAGCAGAGGGGGAGGGCCTGAGAGGAGCCGGGGAGCTCCAGCAGCCTCCTCCCTAGTAGCCACCTCTCCAGCTACAGGATTTGCAGAGTCCCCAGGCCTCTGCTGGTCAGGACTTGTGTTCTCTTCAGGGTGAGAAGGCATTCAGCCTCTGAAGGCCCTATGAAGCAGCAGGGGTCCAGGGCTGCCCCCTGCCTTGAGAGGAACAAGATACTCCAGCAGTCCTGGGGTGGCTTTTGGGCCTCTGTACAATGGGAATATTTGGAAACTGGGGATTGACAAGCTAGAACTTTTTGCAAAAAAAGCCAGTGTGACAGTCGCCTAGTATTTCTATGCATTTTTCTTACTGTTTCTCTGTGCTTGCCTTCTCAACCAAATTATATTCTCTTTTAAGGACAGGACAAGCCTTCTTTGGCCAGGGGCAGCAACCATCTTCACGGGGCAACAAGTGATCTTGCCAAAAAGGACAACTAACCCCTCCCTACCAAGACTGGGTTGGGTACGACTTTTGTTTCCCCATCTGTCCAATTCTATACCCGGTGCCCTCTACCTTTCCCATCAAAACATCTATTCTTTGCTTGATTGGGTTCCCCATTTGCCTGGCACAATAAACAAGTACTGAATGAATGTGTATGAACCTATGATAGCTGATACTGTTGGTGGGAGATTTGATATATGGTTCACTGTCACATTTAATCAAACTTGAACAGATTGGAAAACAGCGTTGTATCTTTCACCAAGATGTTGATAAGTCATGGAGCTGTGAAAGGAACTGGTGTCTGACTTCAGAGTAGCACCTAGCTGTGGCATGAGGCTGCCTTCGTGCTGGTTCCCAGTAGGTACCTCTGGCTCCCAAGCAGCCAGGTGGGTGAGGTGGGTCAGCTGAGGTGGCCTGCACTCATGATGCAGTGCGTGCAGCCAGGAGAGCTGCTAGGGATCCTCCTAAGAAGCTTAAGAGAGAGAACTGCTCGGATCTGCCAGCAGAGGAGTCCTGAGGTGGTAGCCGCGGGGGGCTGGGAGTTGGCAGGCAGGCTCTGAGAGCTGGGCAGCTGGGCTGGGGGCTCCTCAGATGTTGTCAAGGGCCTCTGGTCTCTGAATCCAGGCTTTTTTTTCAGTCCTCATTTTCCTTGAGTAATTTTCAGCAGCCTTTGACTTCTGTGTGATCATTTCTTCTTGAGCCCCTCTCTGTCATTGCTTACACATCCTGATAGACATGTAGGTGGACAGTAAGTGTTCCAGTACTTCAAGACTCAGCCCCACATTCTCTTCTTAAACTGCACTTTGTTAGAAGGACCTCTTTGAAAAATAAACGTGAATCTGTAATCCTTCTGCTGAAACACTCCCCGTTTGCCCTCTGACCTTCATTCACACTGCTGTCAACCCACCTGTCCTCTGCTGTACTCCACCCCCACAGCCCGCCCCCACCCCCACCCCCGCGCTGTTCTCACTCCCCGGGATGCTCTTCACCTCCCTGCCTAGCTAACATCTGCGATCAGTTCAAGCCCCAGGGGCATCAGAAAAGCTTTCTCTGGGCTTCTGGTCAATTTCTTGTGCTCTAGACTCTCTGTGTGGCCTCCCTCCCCCCACTCAGGTGTTAATTCCAGTAGGGATTTCACATTCACTGGAAAGGGCCATTAGCAGGGAAGCCTACTGGGACTAGCAACTGGTGTCTCTTTTGCTCCAGATGGTATTTTAGGGTCTAGCACCTTGGCTCATTTTATGTAACAAATGAAATAACCGTTTATTCAACAAAACACCCTATTTTGAACTTGAAAAAATTCAAAGAGAAATAACACGCCCAAAGGTCATACAACTAGTGGGGGCAGAGTATGAACCAGACATCTGTTAAACTCCCCGCACCGTGCTACCCCTCCACTTCCTTATGAAAAGTAAAGAGAAAGGGAAGGAAAGAAGAAAGGAATCTGAGAGACAAAGGTACTCCCCCCCTCTCTCCACTCACGGAAATGCAGTTGGAGATTAAGAATAAAGATTACATTTTAACAAAAAAGATACTTGAATGGCTAATGCACATGAAAAGATGCTGTCTCATTAGTCATCAGGAAAATGCAAATTAAGACTAGAATGGCACCAGCAATGAAGAATCCAAAAAGGAAATTAAGAAAATAATTCCATTTACAATAGCATCCCAAAGAATAAAATACTTAGTAATAAATTTAACCAAGGAAGTAAAGGACTTGTACACAGAAGACTAGAAAACAGTTGAAAAAAGGTAAAGACCTAAATTAATGGAAACATTCCCTGCTTATGGATTAGAAGACAATATTGTTAGGATGACAATACTCCGCCAAACAATCTACAGAGTCCATGCAATCCCTATCAAAATTACAATGGCCTTTTTTTGCAGAAAAGGAAAAATCAATCCTCAAATTCATATGGAATTGCCAGGACTCCCCCAGTACCTCATGTATTCATGAGCCCAGAAACTCTCTGAACCCCATAATTCAGGGGGTTTTATGGAATCGCCATTATGTAGGCATTATTGATTAAATCACTGGTAGGTAGCCCTACCTCCAATCCCTCTCACCTCCCTCAGTGTGGGGCTGAAAGTTCCAATTATCTGCCTTCCAAGCAACCAACCAACATCCTGAAGCTATCTAGGGCCCCCCCAGCGACGTCATCTTATTAGCATACAAAAGACACTCTCATCATTTCGGAGATTCCAAGGGTTTTAGTTGGTGTGTGCTAGGAACTGGGGACAAAGACTTAGTGTTTATTTCTTATTTGCGCTACTCAACGATAAAAAGGAACAAACATTCAACAATATGGATGTATCTCAAAAATTCATCTAAACGTAAGAAGCTAAGTAAAGAAGTTGATGACATAAAAGACTACCTATTGTACTATTCGAGTGATATGAAGTTCCTAGAAAAGGCAAAACTATAGAGACAGCGGATTCAGGGTTTGCCTAGGGCTGGGAATGGGAGCGGGGATTGACTGCAGAGGGCCACCAAAGATCCTTTTGGGTGACAGACACCGGATGTGGTGACGTTTGTGCGGTTGTACGACTTTTTCAAAAAAATCATCTAAGGGGGTAAATTTTATAGTTTGTAATTTACACCTCAATAAAGCTGTTAATGAATGACAATGATAGGGCGAAAAAAATAAGTGTTCTGAAATCCAAGTGGCTTCCGACCTTTGGATCAAGACAAGACCAAACCATCTTCTCTAGATTCACCTATCTCCAGGCTGACCCCCTGCTCAACAGGCAGGTCGGGCACCCCCAAACGAAGTGGGATCCACCTGCCCACCCCTTATCCCTTAGCACACCTCACGCCACAGTCATTCCTTGCTGCCTCTGCTGCCAGAGCCTGAGGTGCAGGGACGGTGCCTGCGTTGTTCATCACTGCATCCAGCTGCCTACCCAGGGACCCGTATAGGAAGTGTCCCTAAATGCTTGCTGAATTAAAGAATGGGACGGGGGTCGACCCAAGGTTAACCCAACTTCAGGAACACCGCATGGGCGGTGTCTGTGGAAACACCGAAGGCTGGGGGAGACTGGATTTCGGAGGGACCTTGGCCCCGCTCTCCGGGGCGGGCAGCGGGCCTTCCGAGCCACCTCTCTGCAGGATCGGAGTTTGGCAGGAGGGCCTCCAGCCCTGGGCACGGGAACGCGACTCCGTCGGGAGGAGGGAGGTGCAACTGCTCTTCCCCAGGTGACATCCTGCCCTGTCGGTCCCCTTCTGCAGCTCCTTCCGCGAGATTTAGGAGGGGTCGGCCGGCCCCTCCCGCCCGCTGGGGAGGTCCTTGGGTCGGGACAGCCACAGCACGGGGCCGGAGTCCCGCATCAGGCCCGCGTGTCTCCGGATCCTCGAGCCCAGCCCCCTGCGCCCCGCGCTCTTCCCCCACGTCGCAGAAGCGCCCGCGTCTGTGCCTTGACCTCAGGACCTTGCCTTTCGGGCTCGGAGGGCCCCTCTTGACGCTTCCACTCTCCTTTCCCGGTCTCCAGGTTTGCCCTCTGGGTTTCCTTCGGGTGGGAACGGGTAGCCAGGACGAGGCTGAGCCCGGCAGGGTGTCTCTGCGCGGGGCAAGGGCCCGAAGTCCGACAGGGAAATGCGGACGCGGCTCCTTTGGAACCCTGGGCGCTGGAGACGCAAGTTAATCCACCCACATTCAAGACTCACAGCGAAGTGACTGAAAAACAGCTTTCGTGACCCCACCCAAATGTTGCCCACCTTTCCCCTCCCAGCTGTCTTTGGCTTCAGGCCACGCACTTCACCTTATCTTCCCTTTTCTCATCCCTAAGGAGGGGGAGAATAGGGCTTCGATGAAGAATTAGGAGGCCATCCCTGTGTTAAAAGCACTGAGTTTGGAGTCGTAACATCAGGCCCCCATGTTAGTTCTCAATGTGCCCCAGAGGGCACTGTGCTCCTCTTAGGGCTGCCATTTCTTCTTTCTTTACTGAGGTGATTGGAATAGTAGGGTTCCCTTCAAGAGCTAGTTATGATGATTCCTTAAGAAGTGAATCTATGGGGCAACAGAAAAGCTATATAAGGGTGTGGCTGTAGACGAAGGACTGCGGTCTAATGACACCCTTTGCCTGCAATGGGCTCTAGGCTCTCAGGGACAGCTTTGCCTTCTGCCCATTATCTGCAGGGATGCTCAGTGAACTAGGAATTCAGGCCCCACAAGAAGCTGTCTTCATACTACCTCATCCACCCGGCGCCAGACCAACCCCCAAGCTGACGTCCTGAGCGGTGTGGCAGCAGCTCCTGTCCTGGCCCCGCCTCTGCTCTCTTCCCCCCAGTCTGGGCCCAACTACCAGGCTCAGCCTCCAGGCCCCTGGTTGGCTCCGAGTAGGGATTTCTCCTGAGCTGCAAACCCTGCAGCAGAACTAACTCTTCTAAATGCTGACCACTGAGTCAAACCCACATTCTGAGTAAAAACAAACTCGAGTGAAGAGTCAAGCCAAAGTTGTTTTAAATACATCGTGAACCAGTAGGAACCTGAACAATCGCCATCACACTTGTGTGATGGACGGCCCTAAACTGTTAAAGACAGTTAAATGAGGCTTTTGTTTTTCTTCTGTATTTCTAAAATTTCCTCAATAGCTTATTCTAAACCCCTTAATACTTCGATGTACATTTCCAAAAAAGGCTATTCTCTTAACATAACCACAGTACAGTTACCAAATTCAGGAGATTTAACATCGATACAATCATCTGTAGTCCACAATCCAATTTCCTTAATTGTCCTACTGACAACACATTTCTTAGCACGGGCTGATGCCGTCTGAGAGATTCCATTATGTGTACACGTTCTTCTTTGAAGATGCTGGATGAGTCACAGGGTCCTCTGGAGTCCACGGCAGCTCCTTTTATCCATCTTCAAGTGTGGCTGTGGCTAAGCTGGGCTGACCAGTCAGAATGTGTATTTTTTGGGGAAGGATGGGACGGAACTGCTAGATGGGCTCCTTCCGGAGGCATTTGGCGCTGTTGGTTGTCTCTGAAAGCACAAGGATTGGTGAGGTGAGTCCACCCATCTTCTCAGCGGGGGCAGCAACTGCTCTTTCCCTTTGTGTGAGGAATGACCTGCGTTTGCATCGGCTTTGCAACCAGACTTGTCTTGAGTCCCAGAGTTCGCCACTTAATAGCTTATGAACTTGGACAGGCAGACTTAAAACAGTATCTACCTTATTGCTTTTCTAAGGATTAAATGAGATGATGCACCATGGCTTGCATATGGAAACTGTCCAGCAAATACTATCGCTTGCCGGTATCTTAGATGGATCGCTCAAAGCCCAGACTGAGCCTCCTGGGGCTCCTTTCTGTTCACTCATCTTTATTTCCTTTGGTAGTCGGCCTTCTCCATTTCTCCCAAGTTAAAGGGTAAGGAAGCCGTTCCAGGCACCCTAGTGTTCTTCCGAAATCTCCCCACCAGAAGCTAATTTCTTCCGCAGCTAGTATCCTTACCTCTAGCACCACCTTGTGGTTGCCAGTGCACTCACCCTGGCCACTTCCAGAGGACCGAGGTTGGTGAGCGGGACAGCAAAGCAGCTCCCATCTGAGCCCCTAAGGGCCAGGCACTGTTATGCATTTCACATGATTTATTGCATTTAATCCTCACCACAGTCCTTAAGGAGCAGGCATTGTTACAGATAAGCAAAGTGCTGCTCAGAGATATTAAATAAGTTGCCAAGTGTCACTGGCAGAACCAGAATTTCTATCCCAGTCAGATGTTGGATCTCCTGCTCACCATGATCTTCTGGTAGGTTTACCGCTGGGAAGACAAGATTCTCAGCCTTTCTTACACTGAAAGGGAAACTGAGGTATAGGAAGGGACTTACCTGAAATCACAAACCCAGCTAATGGTAGAGCTGGAATGCTCTACCATTTGCCCAGAGTTCTTTGTCCTGGGCTCTGAAATGAGACCTGGGATAAGCCACCCATGCAATTTCAGACACTACTTGAAACACAGTTCCCAGACAGGGATTGGAGTTATCCGGGAACTCTGGAAGCAAATTGTTCTTACGTGTACTTCTAGTTCTTGTTGTTCAGCCACGTCCTCAGCAACTTTGGCACCCAATACTTCCACATTCACTGGCTCTCAGTTCCTCTGTCCCTGGAGGCACAGACCCATCAGGGTGGGACTCCTAGCAGGGCTCACCCAAGTTGGCAGCAAGGGAGAAGCTGGCATGAGGCTTAAATTCCACACTGGCACTCAGCCCTGAATCTACCGTGCTGTCTGGGAGCATGGTGGCATGAGAACCGGAGCCAAAGAGCTAAAGATGGCAAGGACTGCAGGCCCAAACAGGCAAGCACGGCACCTCACATGCCCAGCGCAGCCGTGTTAGCTTCTGACTTTTGACTTCAAACAGCACCGAGGGAAGCGTTAGCAGGGAAAGTTACCCAGCTCTGCCATGCCCAGGCATGTCTACCCCTTCCCAGACAGTGATTGGGTTTCACCAAGGCTCCCATCTAGATCAAATAGGCAAAAGCATGCACAAAGCAGTGACAGGGTGTCATTACTGGCCCATTTTGTTAAAAGCGTTTTCTTCTTAAATCTGGGTAAGCAAACCACACACCACCTTGGTTCTTCAACCAGCCTTCCTCACCTAACAAACATCTCTGTGCGCCCTCATCTCTGGGGAAAGCCAACAGAACAAACCCTCTTCTGCCTTGACCTGGCCCAGAAGGCCCACTCTGCTCCACTGGGCTGGCTTCTGATTTGCTCTTCTATGAGGTTTACTCTCCCAGTCTGCCAGCTATGCCAAGGTCAAGGGGAGTGGGAAGCTTAGTTTCCGCTCTTCATCCTGAACCATCCAAAGGCAACAAAATACAGAAAGATCATCAACTTTGGAACCAGGTCTGCGATAAAATTTAGCTTTGCCACTGAAGAGCCACTACTTAACCCCTTTGGACCTGTTTGCTAACCTGTAAACCTGGGCTGCACCATCTGCTTCCATGGAACCTTGAGGTACATGGGGTGACATCCTTGAAACACGTTAAGAAAAAAAGGCAGGTTTCCTTTGGTGCACATGCAACCACGCAAGATACACATTCACCTGTCCCCAGCAACGTGAACTTCATTCCTCTGGCTTTAACTTTGGGATCATGACCTCAAGACATCCTTTGCCTATATCCTTCAATAGGCGTATTTAGCCAAGACAACTAAAGTCGAAGGCTGAAAATTATTGGCCACGACTAAACTGACAGATGCCTTGGGGAGCACTCACGCAAGCTTCCACGGCTCAGGCCTTCCTAGGGAACAGTCCTAAAGAATCTCAAGCACACAAAGTGTATTCTTAAATATGGTTTAATACTCTTCTCCATTTCTGTACATCACAACACCAAGATTTTGCTGCTTAGGATCTCTCTGTAGAGGCTATAGAGAATGCAAAGGCTACGGTTTTCACCCCCTCTTATTTATGTGTTTGTATGTGTAAGTGTAATACATATCAGTATATATTGATACACACATCAATATATAATGCAATATATATCACCAAAGAGAACACATTGATTAAAGAAATACAAAAATTTGGCATCATTTCCAAACTTAAATAGTAAAAATAAAAACTACAAAAGGAGCTGCATACCCTAAATGTATCATGTGAAACAACAAGCATATTCAAAAATGTAAATTTACATCCAATTTCTCTGGTCTTGTCATATCACATTAGACCCATTTACAATGGCAAAACCCTAAGGTACTGCTGTGAAGAGAGCATGTTTGTTCGCGTTTGGGTGTTCTGCAAACGAACAGCAGAGCCCAAAGCAAAAAAGCCTGTTCCGGTGAAGCCTCCCATATCGGTGAATACCAAAGAATTGACTCTTCTCACTGGGGGGTTGAGACATCAAGGTTATATACAGCGACAGACAGTCATTTGGACCTCAGTACAGTGTGAGAACCAGAAACTTTACATTTAAGACATACTCCCTTCATTCAAGTGAAACAGGATTATTGGAACGATAGGCAGGTCTGCAACCTGGGAACAAGGAGCTGGTTCAGACCAATAAAGCTACAAGTGACTGAGTCAAGTCAGTGAAGAACAGCAGTCAGGCACTAAAGTGTTAAAAGTACCCAATTTGAAAACCAAATGCACCCCACTACCCTATCAGTGTGGGGGTGATACCAATCGACTTTTAAAACCTTTGGTCCTTCAAAGTCCATTTGGTATACTTTCTTCCATTGCTACCACTGGGCACGTCCTATACACTTTGTTCACTGTCACCACCTCGGGCACGCCATGACTTTGCATGTCAGCTGGGGTCGAGTCCCACTTATAGCCCAGCTGTGAAGCAGAAGCTTCAGGTTGTCAGGCCCACTTTTGGATCCAACACGGTTAAGTCCTTGGTGCCAGAAGCTGTGTCCTATCCCTTTCCACCCCTGCCTTTCCCACCCCCCTCCCATAATTTCTCATATGAGAGGTCCTTTGAAGTCCCTTATTTTGAAACAGATGCTTCAACCCCACCAGGAGGTCAGGGGTTTATAATTACATGCACAGTCATACATGTCTGTTGTTCCTGTGAAAAACCTTGCAGTTCATTTTTTAAATCAGAACATTCACGTAATCTCATGCCATCCAACACAAGGAAAACACGACCACCTCCCTTTTACCAAGGACAGACCCAAGCAAAATTAAATATTCTTTAAATTTCTTTGCTTCTACTTAAATTGCATGTTTTATTTCTCCCAATCCCAGCAATAGCACAGAAACCCCATCGCATCCATCCCAAACTGATATCCAGCAGGCTGACTACAGGAACCCTTGTCAATGCAACTAACGCTAAGGGCTCCCAAACCCTGGGCACAAATGCGCCTGCAAACAGATGAAAGCAAACAGTGCACTGGCCCCAATGCTTCAGGTGTCAGTTTGACTTGTGCAATTTGCATCCTTGGAACTGACAGTCTGGAGGGGGAGGGGGAGTGTGAGGGAGTGCGGTTGAAATTGCCTTAGCTCGCTCACCCTTTCAACATTAAACAGAGACCAAGAGAGAAATGGTTCCAACATTTCACCACATATATTTCTTCTTATGCAGTCTAAGCTGAGAATGCCATGTAAATGGGTCACTGCGAAATGCAGCAATTTAACTTTTCTCCAATCAAAGTAACAAACCAGTATGATCTCATTTCTATTAACTTTTGAAGGTTTACAGCAGTTAAAGTATTTTTGATTCTATGTATGAAGGTTAAAAAAATCATTTTTTTTTCATAAAATACAAGAGCAACCAATTTCACCATCGAGTAAAAGTAAAAACTGGGATTCTTTTTTAAATTAGTCCAAAGTGCCGTTTAGGAACTTAGTTGTAGGCTGCTGCGCTGACACCATGACAAACCAAAGTGTAGGGCTGGGTCTGGTTTTGTTTCGGTTTTCTTTTCAATATCCAATATCCAATGCTCGTGGATTAAGTTCTGGAAGTGTTCCAATCGTAAGGCAGGGATCTGTTTGGATTCCACCGCGGGTATGCTCCTTGGGTTGGATGCTGGAGGGTGAGGCACATTTTGCCGGACCCGTGTCGACTACCTAGTAGTCATCAAGGTCAAAAAATTCATCGTCTCCTCCTTGGTATTCCATTCCCTGGAAATCTACTCGGTACCGCAAGATACCTGGGAAACAAACAAAGAGTGTCATCACCCGTGTTCACAAAACAGAGAAGATTTACTTTCATAAGGGAAGCCCAACCCCTTTGCAGAATTATATAAAGCAAAGAGGTGATGAAAAAAAATGGTCCCAACCAAGGACCCTGTAGCCGTCCTGCCTCAGTGGATAAGCACACCTCACCTGCAGTAACTTTCTTTTGGGACAGTCAGGAAAAACTGGCCCGAGACCCTGGCTTTAAGTCTAGTTTTCTGGTTTGCTACTCACCTCCAATTCCACCAAATCCTTTCACAAATTGGGATCCTTCTTGTGATTTATCTGTGACAATTTCCAACGTAGCTCCAAATTTTTTATAGTTGTTAGCAAACCATTCCAGTAAGGGCATACTCTCAATCAGTTCATGTTCCTGTCCTGTCTAGAGGGGCGGCCATGAGATACAGAAACAATGGGATTAGGACATATCAACACCTGGCAATAGTTGCTCCCCGGGCCGCCATCATTCTCAGAGTCCCGTATTAGGTGTAAAACTTTCTAAGTGAATTCTGGTTTCTGGTGACATAATTGTAACAGCACATAAATGTAACAGAAATTCTGATCATTTCAAACCACCTTCCTCCCCAGGCTCTAGCCTCAGTAATGAAATGTCAAAACACACTTAGCAGTTTTTCAACTTAAGGTTCCCACTGTCTCTAGAAGTCAGGCTGTTTTAAGCATCTCTAGGCAGCACTCAGTCAACAGCCGCTAAGAGACATGCCAGAACTGATTTTTGGAGAAGGCCTGTCAAAAAACAAAGTCCTTCAATTCAGAATTTGAGAAAGCCACCACTAAAAGGGATCTGCACCAGGCAGGTAGCACTTTGAGCTGTGGGGATGTACTGAGGTCAAACCTGCAGAAGCCATTTCAGCAGAAAAGCTGATGCGGTGAGTGAAGAAAGCACAGGTTAAGCAGTTTCAATTAAAGCTTCTCTACTATTTCAAGGAGAATGAACGACTTTCAAAACAAGGAACCATAGTAATCATGACTTGGCCTTCTTCCTTGGAACCAGAACGGTACATGGTACATAAGAGCTGACCACCTCCTGCTACCCTCACTGCCAACGAGTATGAGGCTTGGTTTCCCAAGGCTGACACTCAATGCTGCCAGTGCTCTAAGATATGGATTTATGTGTCTTTGCATGTATCACCAAACCGAAAAGAACAGTCGCATACCTCTTTGTCTGTGAAATGAGATTTATCCTTCTCTTGTTCTGGAGTTAGATAGAGAATTTTCTCCTCTGTAGTATTGGGGAAAAAAGATGTGTTAAACTGATTCTCATATACTAACAGGTTTAAGTCCCACGAGATGAGTTAGGTTAGATGAAAGGGCTCCTGATCTCATTCTATCAACCTCCTTTTTATAAGCATATCAGCACGCACTGAGTGTCTACTGCTCCTGCCGTGAGCCCCAAAGACATTCAACCTTCAGTCCTTGTGCTCAGGAAGTTTGATCATAAGCAGACATGTATCAGTTTAAGCAGAACAATCTACGCGAGAATGCGCTACAGATTGAAGGTGTGGTGAACAAGGTATCAATCTGCCTTCTGACTACTCCTGTCATCAGCCGTCTTCCCAATCTCCACCCCAGGCTTCCTGAATACATAGGTCGCAAAAAACAGCAATCTTATTTTTAATTCTCATACCTTCTGTGCCTTGGCAATGAAGAACATATCTCATTATATCCAGATTTTCATAGACTATTAGAATCTCTACAGCTCCCATTTCTAAAGCCTTTAGTGTATCTTCAACTCCAAAACAGTACTTGCCCGTGTCCTGGCTGATTTCATCAAAGTATCGTCCTGTGATCAGGGATAGGTCATAAGAACATATATTAAAGTTTCCTTTGTATATACAGACCCTCTTACTCAAATCAGAGAAGGGGAGGGGGAAAAAAAATAACTTAAAATGAGTAAGTGCCAGAAGTCAGTGAAAAAAAACACCACTGTTAGAAGCTCCAGAAATGGGACTCTGAAGAGGTAACTACTGGGACAAACACACAATCTTCTGGAAATGTGCCTGCCCAGTTAAGTTGGAAACAGCCAAACAATAGCCACATAAACCTCTAATTTGGGCTCTCTATTCATCACTCTATTGCAAAGGATAATTCACGTGGGAAATAAACACTGAAGTTTGGTTCCTATTGCCAAAGGGTAAAAACAGTGGAAATACAAACACATTTATTAGACCTAATGACTAAAGGAAGTTTAAACATAATGACTTCACTGAGGAAGAGTTTAATAAAAAAGCCAAATCTTCCTCTTTTGACCTTTCTGGCATCTTGTTTCATATAGATAAACATGTATATACAGATATAAATACAAAACATTGAACAGAGTAAGTTGCATTTCAGATATACCTATTAATTTCTTCTCTTGAATGAATTTCACGTTGGAGAGGACTTCAGTAGATAACTCAATAGCTTGGTTGAATCCATTTTCACCACCATAGGATATATCAACTAATTTTAAAACTTTTGACTGCAACCTCTGACACACAAGAAAAGCATCATTAGTACTTGGTATCAATACCCACTACGTCTTAATGGCATGCAAAGCTCAGCAACATGATCACTGAAGTCTAAAGGGGGAGAATATGGGGAAACAGCCCAATTTATTCATGAGCAGGCCTCAGTGAGCAAGACTACTAGGGTAAACTTATCCAGCCAATTGCATCACACATTCTATTTGACCTATAAGAGGCTAACTCATAAAACACAAACAAAACCAAGTTTCTTTTAAGGAAAGGGGGAACCATGGATTTCTGCCCTATAAGGTGGGAGAGTACAAGACAGCTTCCTAGGTGAGCTTTCTACTGTTTAATGCAACCTTCCTCCAGAACACCACCTTAGGAATGTGTTATGGCTGATTCCACGTCATAAACCAAAAGATCTTTTTGGATTTGATGTTTTAGGCTTAACTGGCTCTGTCATATTGCTGACTTTCACTGTTTTTACTTACCTCATGGAAAAAAATCAGAAAAAGGAAAAACCAGCTCCTAGTTTTTTGAAACCAAACTCCATCTTAAAGCCAATTATAGCAGTCCGCTCAACCAGAGGCCTCCACAGGCCCAGAAAAGCAAGGGGGATGCTTTCTAACAAACACCTGGGATTCTGCCAAATCAGAGCTAGGTTTTTAACACAGACTATCACCATACAGCAAAGAAGACATGCATGCTCCAGTGCTCAGAGCACTTACTACTTCCACACCTAGAAACTTACAAAATGGAGCACATTGCACCTACTCTCACTTACCTGATCAAACATATCAGATTGACTTAGTTCAGTTTTGAAGTCAGCTGATCCAGCTAAAACGAGACCAGCCACATTCACTTTGTCCCCAGAAATAAACAGCTGCACAGCAGTCTCAGCTACTTTCCGAACATAGTTATGTCGCTTTTCCATTCTTAAACGGGCAAAACGCAAGGCTGACTGACCTCCTCTACCTTTGACACAAAAAAAGTGGCAAAAAATAAAGGGGCTTATTAGGAAGTTCAAGATTCCTTGCTAGTTAAAAAGTAACTTAAATAGTCATGCTTTTACCCAAGAAAAGACAAAGAGAGAAATCACTATTCCCTTAACTCAATGTTTGGCATAAATTGTTACTTGTTTTCAGAGAGTGACTACTAATTCTCCTGCTGAAAGAAAAGCCACAAACACCAATGAGTCACGATTCGTTTCATGATGATTCTCCTATCACCTGGATTTACTTTCCCCCATTATACTATTTGTTTTCTTATTGCTAGATAAAAAGTGAATGGGTTCATGTTCTCTTCTGATATTACCGTGTTTCTTTGGGAGATCCACAGTGAATTTGTGCAGGACTTCTCTTGTGTTTCCTTGGAGTGTGCCAAAAAGGGCACCACTACCATCTATTACAATGAAGCCAAATTTGCTATCATCTGAAAGTAGTGCTGTAAGAGCCTGAAAAGCAAACACAAGGACCACACGGTCAATCCCAAAGCCCTGCTAGGGTCAAGACAAAATCTGAAAGGATGCACATGAGCCCCTTCACCCCACTCAGAACAGTATGAGTACTACAAAACATTTCATGGAATAATTTACAGACTTCCATGTTAAGTATGTGGCTCATACAGACAAATCTGAACCTGATGCAAAACAAAAACAAACAAACAAAAAAACCCAACATTGATGTGAAGCCTTTTAACAAACCTGACCTTAACACATGAACACACAACCAATATGGAGTTATAGGGTTCAGATTCTTCCTAACCCTTTATGTGATTTAGACAGACGGTAGCCTATGGAACATACATTCACACTAAGTCTAACCACCAAAAGTTGACTTTCTCTTGCCATTAATAACTCCGGCACTAATAGGCAGTATTCAATAGAGCAAATTTCTTGTAAATCAACTCTAGAATAGGAGTACATGAATATAAAACTCAGGAACAGTCTATATAAAAAGATCTTCTAGGTTTCAAATATTTCATTTAACTCCTTTGTCTTGAGAATCATTAATGATAGCAGGATATAGAATTGAATTTTATTTTAAAGGCATTATATCAGTGATTCTGAGTTTTTATGGGGGAAAACCCTCCTTGTGGGTTAGCATTATATTCTCCTATTTCTATCTCCTCAAAGAGCAAATATTTAAATAGTCCTGGTAGATGACTAACTGCTAGGTGGCAGTCTCTTTCGAGCTAAGAAATCATTACCCATTCATTCTATTTTAACTAAGGAAGAAAATAGCTCCTTCAAGAATTGACTAGGCAGGAGATTAATCACCAAGAATCAATCTTTCACCAAACCCTATCTGATAAGTAGCACTAAGACAGGAATACTGCACATGCTAAAAATCTGACACTGTATCATAATGATCTGTTAGGTAGGAGCTTAAGTTTCAACAAGTCTGTTAATCAGGGAATATACTTATCCCCCATAAGAACGTGTAATTATCCTGATTAAACAGGACATAAATTGTATTGTACAGCATGTCCATTCACACCTAGTTATTGACATATCAATTAAAGCCGAAGTACATATGGCTATTAAGATTAAATGATATCTTGGAAGAGTTGTTAAGGTTTAGAAAAACCAACAAGGCTAACTTAACAAGCCTAAGCTGGATAATATGAGTACCAGTTACTGTTAAGATCACCAAGATTCAAAATCTGCTTTCAAAAAACCAAATACATTAAGTGGGACAGGGTAGCTAAGGGCCTCTCCAATGAAGCTTTTGGAAGGAGGCGGCTGTGATAGCCGAGAGAAGAGTCTCAACCATCTATGCGACTGACCAAGATCCATCCAGCTGGAATTGGACTTCCTGTCAAGTTGGCAAAAATCATCCATTGTAAACTGTGTGGACACATGTCAGTTCTAATTCCACTGTAGAGGTTTTTCCCTAGGTTGAAGGAAGGCAAGAAACTAAACTAGGAGCCAGCTGTGAATTCCTGATTGTTCTACTGTTGACTGATTTAGGTCACTCTAATGAGGTTTCCTTTCCACCCTTGAAGTTCATCTTATGGCAACTGTGTCACTCAAAAGTTTTGTGGAAAAAGAAGCTTACAGCCCTGCTACTGAAGATTTTACCATTTGTGAGGTAAAAACTAAAGGCACAAGGAATATAGGCAAGTATGATGGGTACATAGGGATTGATGGGGATAAGGTAGCCAATTATTTCTTCACCTCTAATTAGTTCTCCAAACCCAGCTTGGCATGTTCCTCAAACATGCTAAAGGATGATGCCATTCACTGTGTCATAATAAATGTCAATTTCCATTTTTTGAAAATAGCCAGCCTTATAATAGTACAGTGACTTACAAAATAGTCTGACAGTTCCTAAAAAGGTTAAACAGTTATCATATGACCTAGAAATTCTATTTCTGAAACCCCCAAACAGATGTTTATACAAAAACATGTTTCAAAGCAGCCTTATTCGTAATAAGCCAAACAGTGAAAACAACACAAATGTCCATCAGTTGATGAATAAAATATGGCATTATCCATGGATAAAATGAAATGTGACAAATATTATTTGGTAATAAAAATGGATGAAGTACTGATACATGCCACCACGTGGATGAACCCTGAAAACATTATGCTTAGTCAAAGAAGCCAGCCACAAAAAGCCACCCATTGCATGATTCCATTTATATGAACTGCCCATTGTAAGCAAATCTACAAAGACAGAAAATAGATTAGTGGTAGCCTAGAGCTGAGAGATCTTGGGGGTCGGGGTGGGAGGATTAGGAGTGACAGCTATGGGTATAGGGTTTCTTTTTGGGGTGATCAACTATTTTGGGCTTTAACTTCTTACCTCTGTATGGAATTTGTTGTCACACAAATACAATGACGTATTAATTGGTTTAAAAGGTTCAAAGTCAATATTGACTTTCTTTTCCTTTCCTTCTTCTGTTACAATTGTACCACAGTAAACAACCAGGCCATTTGGAGGTACTGCAAAGAACACAAATAATTTCTCCACTTAAATCCACAGCTAATTTCCCTCAATTAATAGAAAATGTTCCTATAACCTATTGTTCTTGCCCCTTTAAAATATAATTTAAATAAAGCAGAAATATCTGTAAATCTTCCAAGCAGAATTCTCTTCCTAATTTTGAGACTTTCTCCTGAGATGTTTTAAGGAGGATTTATTCCCTCAGCACAGTAAATACTACTTAACTTTCAGAAAATAAATTAAGGGAATACTAGTGACCAAAAGCATCATGACAGTATCAAAGTGGAAAATATAACCAAGACAAAGTAGAGGAAGAAAACAATCAAGCTCCAGATTACCTTTGTTATAAAGTTTGAGTCTTTGTTGTACAGATGTAATGGCTCCCAGGACTGAAAGGCGGTTTACTCGTGACTTAATGTTAGATGCGGTTCCAAACTCATCTGCTAACATTTTCGCCACTCGTGATATCTGGTCTTTGGGGGGAATGATCAATGATATCATGCTTGTCCCATTGCTGTGGAAAAATAACATTAGAAGTTCAAGTACCATGTAAGTAAAGAGTTAATATTCTTATCATTACTAAATGGAGATAGAGTGAGATGCCCCTACAATAGGAGAAACTGATCACTCTCAAAGTGCCCACGAAGGTTAAAGACTAACACCAGGGTAATCAAAGTACCCAGAACTACGAATAGTGTTCAGAATATTGTATGTGTTCAATTACTTGAATGAATATTATTACTTATGATATACTAGTTATGTGAAGAAGGCACTTTAAGGAAGGCTTGGGAAACATTCTCAAAGATGAAGAGAGAAGCTTTGATAAGGGAGTGACAACAGGTTGGAATTTGACAGGGAGTCCATGGTAGAGGCTCAGAATCTGGAAGTTCTTCAGTGGCAGATGCCACCGTAGGACAATTCAACAAGTCCTTCCAAAGTCTAGATGAAATACCAACTTGATATCCTGTTATCACCTTTTCATTAAATTCCAGGGTCACCACAAAAATTTACAATCACTAATTTAGCATCCTCAGTACCCTAATAATGGGAAGAGAGCCTTGAAATTCATACAAATATCCCAGTTAAGAAATATTCCTCTCTCCCTTTCCCTCTCCCTCTCACACACTCTTTCTAAATAAATAAATACCAGGATCAATCTGAACTATAGAGGACACCATAGGGGACGCCCCTTCTGAGCAGCTGCCAACCACTCTCTAACCTCAGTAACTGATGCCAGCAACATATTTTTTAAACCTTCACATTCAAGATACTTATTAGCACTATGTTACAAAATACTTCATTTCAGTATTCCTAATCCTACTTGAAGCAAACATAAAACTGTATTATGAAAACATATCAACTCAAAACTAATCACTAGGGTAATACAAATCAAAACACAAAACTACTTCATGCCCATTAAAATGGCTACTATCAAAAAAACAATGTAACACTAAGAAGGATATGGAGGTATTGTAACCCTTATGCACCGCTGCTGGTAATGTTAAGTGGTACAGCCCTTATGGGTAATGGCCTGCAGTCCCTCAAATAACTAAGCATAGAATTACTGTATGATCTGGCAATTCTACTTCTATGCATATACCCCAGGGTAGAAGCCAGGAACCAAATATATTTGTGTGCTAATGCTCAGGCAGCAACATTACAACAGCTGAAAGGTGCAAACAACTCAAATGTCCATCAGTGGATACATAATAATAGTAAAAAGTGATATATACAGTGGAATATCATTCAGCCTTAAAGGAAACTCTGACACATTGCTACAATATGGATTAGCTTTGACACATTATAAGACAGATACAAAAGGACAAATACTGTGTGATTCACTTGTATGAGGTAGCTACAGTAGTCAAATTCATAGAAACAAGGGTGGACACTGAGGTGGGTGGGGGTGGGGACACAGGGAGTTTGCTGTTTAATGGGTATGTGGTTTCAGTTTTACAAGATGAAGGGTTCTGGAGATTGCATAACAATGTGCATGTACTTAACACTACTGAACCATACATTTAAAAGGCTTAAGATGGTAAATTTTATATTGCATTTTGCCATACTCAAAAGTTAAAAAAAAAACTATGAATTAACTAGGAAGTCCATCTATATGCTAAAAAGTTTTAAAACACATTTCCCTTAAAACAGTTCTCAAGCTTGGTTGCACATTAAAATCACCTGGAGAGTTTATTCTAGGTGGTTCCTTTTCAAAAAGGCTCCTGTAAGATAAAACTCTTAGAAGAAAACATAGGCAAAACTCTCCTGAATATAAACATGAGCAACTTCTTCATGAATATATCTCCATGGGCAAGGGAAACAAAAGCAAAAATGAACAAGTGGGATTATATCAAACTAAAAAGTTTCTGTACAGCAAAGGACACCATCAGCAGAGCAAAAAGGCATTCTACAGTATGGGAGAATATATTCATAAATGACATATCTGATAAGGGGTTGACAT